AAAGTGATTGGCTTCTTGTATTATAGTTGTGATATTGCGAATTATGTTGAATTTTTTCTAATAGATCTGATAAGATGGTACTATGTCATTTTTATTTTATAAATAAATATCAGTCATGTACTGAACATAATTCTGAACTGAAAGCCAATTTATTTCTTTTAACATAGTTGCAATACTCATCCTTCTGTCCTTTATTAATATTATATAAATAGGCGAAGTAAGGAGCCCAAATATTTTACATGAGCAGGCTTAAGAGGTAAAGGGGCCAATTATTATTGGATAAATTGCTCAAACAAGTTTGTAAACCCTAATCAAAAGGCGATATAGAATGGTTTTAAAAATCAAGGCTTGTGAAAATCATCACATGGTTTAACCTAATTAATGCCAATGCTTCACAAACCAAAAAATTCAACGTCCTAATACATACTACTATCGGCTTTCGGTCTTTCGTTCCAAGTTAAATCATTTCTCGTTTTTGTTACGCTATGAGTTTACCCTTGTGAGCCTCAGTCTCGATAAGGTGGGAACCACCATTTTAGCGTCTCTCGAATTTTAAAAATATTTTTGGATATTCAGAGTGTTGCATTTTTGCCTGGCAAATAAAAATGAATATTTTAAATAGAACAACCTGTATTTTATTTCATTTGTAGATGATTTGTTAATACTATATTCAATGGCGTAGCCATGGGGGGGTCAAAACCCCCCATGAAGGCCTTCGCGTCACCGTTTCCGCTACTTTATTGGCGCTGATCGCTATTTAATGTTTGTTAACCCCCCCCCCCCCCCCATAGTACTCAAAAACCCCTCCCATGAAATATGTCTGGCTAAGCCACTGCCAGGTACTCACTCAAGTGGATTTATCGGCATATTCATGAATTAAAGTAGTTCCCGAATGAAACAAGGATTTGTGAGCGATATTTATTAGAAATTATTGTGGGGTTTGGTTTTCTTTTAGATAGGTAGATAGGCTTCTCTGCAAGTAATCTATTTCAAACTTTTAAAAATAGACATCTAAAATGTACAAATTTAATAAATTTACAAAAAGGGCAACGGCACGCGGTGTTTCCAAGCGGTCACCCATCCAAGTTACTAACCACGCCCAACACTGCTTAACTGCGGTGATCGGACGAGAACCGGTGTATTCAGTGTGGTATGGTCGTTGCCTAAAAAATAAGTTAGTCTATTTCCTCATAACCTTTTTCACTTTAATATACGAGTACCTACGTGTTCAATTCATACAATATACATTTTTATCCGCCAGTCAAAAACGCAACACTCTGTATATCTAAAAATATTTTTAAAATACGTATTTTTTAAATCCACATATCTTTTATTTAAAACTTGTTTGCGTTTCTATAACACCAATTGAAATATTGAACAATTACGCACGACTGGGACATCCTGCATATTTTTTTTGCGAAGCAACCCGTGATGACTCTAGGCAGGTTGGGTAAATTAGTAATTTTTTCTTTCTCTTTTCAGTCATAATTTTGTTGCGAAGCAACCCGCGGTGGCTCTAGGCCGCACAGGTTAGGTAAATTTGTTAAGATTTTTTTTATTGTTCTCTAATTCTTCTACCATCTTAGATGAGGCTTCTCTTAACAAACTCTTCAGATTAAAAGGTATTGGGCCCAGATTCGTACTGCCCCTCAAACTGAGAATGGTAATAGAGGGTGATTGATATACAGTGCGGTCCAAACTCGACACTTTTACAGGCTATCACTGAATCTACAAAAGATATTGCAAATTATGCAGGGTGGTACATCCTATACGAGTCGGTCTCAGTAGGGAAAACGGCTCAACATTTAAACATTTTCTTAATAGGAATATACAGGGCCATTAACACTACAAATTAAACTTAATTTGGATTATACAGGGTGATCCAAAAATAAAAATTTATATCAAAGTTATGTTGTTTAAATGGAACATCTTGTGCCGATCTACATCTTCCATCTAGTATGTTGTGATTATTTAAAACACATCAATAACCTACGATATGTGTAGCCAAGATATTAGACTATCGAATAAAATGCAAATTTTTCCATTTAATTATCTTTCATTCTATATGAGATTTCCTATGCCTAAATTTAACGGTTATTTAGTAAATACCAACGACGAAACACTACTAGACTAATTTTGTTTACAGAAATCGAATTTACGGTGTCATCCACGGAGTTGTCAAATTATTATGAGAGAATATGGGAGAATCTTGTTACAAGAATTGTTTAGGGTTATAATTCGGTATTGACATAAACATAGGCGCATAAAAGGCTTTTAAAATTACATTAGGAAAGTATATTTGCATGCCAGTTATTATCAGTTTAATATATTTTTTCTCGTTTCAACTATTATAGTATTTGGAAGTGTGACAGCAGTGTAGCAAGCGCAGTAGACGTAAATACAGATTCACTAATAAAACCATAAAACACATGCTCGCTCCTCAGATAAACATACTCGCACAAACCATCTCCACTAAAATTTACAGTTGCATCTTTCTTTCTAATACGTCAGCCAATGCGGCAGCTCTGTTTGCTTAATAATAAACACAAACTGAATAATTGCAATAAATAAGGGCTTAATTATGAAGTAGTTTTTCGTCTTTGGAAATACCTAGCTGTTTTTTTTTTAATTTTTAACATACCGAATTTCTGTAAAAACTCTTTCCCGTCAAAGTGGCCATTGGATTTAAATGTCAAATGCTAGTTTGATATTTCTATTTAGTTTGAAAGATTACTACAACAGTTTAAAGTTCGTGAAAACGTAGTTAGATATTAAAAAACATAATCAGCTTCAACCTATTTTAGGAGTTCTTGAAAATTAATTTTGGGTTATTGACTCACTGATAGAAAACCTACACACAAGTCATCCGGCTATTATTAGAGAAACTGAAATACACAGGAAAAATATTGGACGAATAATAATAACAAAAAAAAAAACAAATAACTATCATCCATATAAGATTCAGTTGCACCAAGAACTGTATCCAATGGACTTCATCAAAGAAACGATTTTTAATTATGTGTTATTACGGATAAAATAGAATCAGATGTAGATTTTTTGATCATGTTCTGTTTTTGGACGAGTGCACGTTTTAAAATTATTTCATTATTATAGATTATAGTGATGAAAGTCTTCAAGACTTTCATACTCTCGATCATCAGCATAGGTTGTCCTTGAATGTGTGGGGAGGAATAATGGGATTGGTTCTTATTTTTTTACCAGTCAAATTAATGTCTAAGTTTTTGTGTAGAAAATTATCTGGACGCCTTGATGATGTACCTTTGGATACTAGGCAGAAAACGTGGATGCAGTTTAAAGCATTTTCAACTTTGAGTACGGCTATATTTAAACTAGCATTTTGTTAATGGATCGAAAGAGGTAGTCCACATAATTGGCCTCCAAGATCTCCGGACTTGACGTCGTTGGATTTTTTTAATATAAAGTATAGTTTATAATACCCCACCGACTACGCAGGAAGATATGAAAGATAGAATAAGAGGTACATTTCAGACAATAACTGAATTATTCTCAAAGTGAAACAATCCTTTGAAAAACGAGTTTCACTTTGAACATTTTTTATAATTCATTGCATAATAAATAGCATTTAAAATAAGAATATTATTCAACTGGATATGTAAATCGAATTCAGTTAGACTAAATGTAATTGAAAAATTTGCATTTTATTCGATAGTCTAATATCTTGGCTACGCATATCGCAGGTGATTGTTGATGCGTTTGAAATAACCATGACATACTAGATTATGTTGTTCAAGCTTACAAAAATTAAGAATTCACAAAAATTCCTATTTTATTACTAATTTTATTTTTGTTTCAAGCGCAGGGGGCTACTCCCCACTCCCCCTCTAGCCAAAGCCTCTCCAACAGACATTTTGTGTAGGTGAATAAAAATCTCAATAACATGTTACCCTCCATTTGTAATGATGACCATTTATAACTTTTATAATTAAAAGGCCGGCATATATAGGTCACTACGGCCGACAATCGGGCCAGTCACTTAGCCATCAAATCCAGTTAATAGGTCCTCATTTTCCCTTTAATGTCTATAAATAAATATATTGACAATTAATGGCCTATTGATGGGAACTGGAAATTGCAGGCCTTTTATCATATTAATACTGATTGCTGAATAAAGGCCATATGTTAGGCACATGACCAGACAGGCGATTCGATAGTACCTCTTTGACCAGTAGTACCGTTTGAACTATATATTCTTTACTTAAACAAAGGGGCATTCCAATATATAACATTGTAGACATTTTATTTAATTCAGATATATATTAATGAAAAAAAAATGTCTTCTACAAAAAGTTGATTCATAAAATACTCTACATTAACAACATGTAAAAGTAAGAAATTACAATGAATACTGAATAGTGAATACCAGCAATCCGAGACTGCCGCATAGTACTAGTCCAGTATGTAGCTGATCGATCATCCATTAATGAACGCGGGACGGAGCCCTCTTGGATTGTTGGGGTTGGGTTTAACTATGCTTTTACCCAAAACAGTTCCTTACTTTTCATAAGGCCATCATCAACCAACATAATGCTAGGCCACTATCGAAATTCCAAAAGTAGGCTTTTAACTTTTAATCATCGCATTCATTTTCCCTTCAACTACAGCAAAAGGCCAGCAATATCCCGACAATTCATTGTTTGTTGCGTCATAAAATTAATATTTGGCTTGTTACGTTTTTCTGAATCATCCTGTATAATATAAAATTATCTGAAAAGATGGTCATGTGGCCATCCTGCAATACATGTATTTTTTCCATTCGTGACATATTCAGGGGAATTCTTTCGTATTTGATACTAACCCTGTATTTTATAAATTTCTGAAATCAATAATAAAGAATTCATAATTTTGCTGACGAATATTTATTTCCTATAGAGTTCAATGATATTTACTATTACCTACACGTTAATATTTAAATAAACAACTATTGTTAACATTCTCTATTTTACAAATTGACCACTGTACTAAACTGTAGATAACTATTTAAAATTCTTTTTTTATAAAAATTGTATCATTTTCAGAGCCAACAGACGTTTGGAGCTCCTTGTATATGAACTATTGAGTACTCTCGAGTTAATAGTGTCTAATAAACGACGAATTAGTCTTAATAACTATTAAGCAGCAAACCCAGGGCGAAACAATCATCAAGAGATGTGTCATTTAATCACTTAATCCAGCTTTCATTCATTCATTAATTCATTCATAAATGTGCAGTGCTTTGTTTGTTATGTATTGAAACCTAACTGAAACCTAATGGAGTAAAGAAGAAAGTAAGAAACGCAAGTTATCGAAGTTTATTGTATTTATCGCGAAAATGGCCGTTGTATCTTTAGTTGGAAGCAAGATTATTTTGGCGTTTTGTAACTTTCTACTGTTGGTAAGTTTTTAAATGGTGTAGGTAATTGTAAGATTTTCTAATTATTGTTTTCTAATGCAAATCTATGCCAATAAATAGCACTTAACTACATTAGTGCGATTTGATAAGCAAGTAAACTATATATTTTTCTTTAGATAATTAGTATGGGTGAATCATCTTAAGTAATCCATCACTAACTTATATTCCTGTTTACATCTATCATTGAAAATGACATATAGGTATTTTAATTCAAAATGACATGGGTAATGTAAATATTGCGTCTTGGAATTTAAAAAATAAGTTATAGCAATTTGAAATATTGAATATTTATTAGTTTATAGAAAAAGTATGTATGTGGTTTAAAAAAATTGAAGATGTTTATGCGATAGGTTATTTACGATCTTGGTTTCGTGCTCCATGAAACATTTTAGAAAAATTTTATTCAATTAAATTTTTGTGGCAGTTTTTAAGAACCCGTAATTTTTCAGAAAAAATATTACATCTTCGATTACCCGCCAATGCCGCATCTAAATTCAAAACAAACAAAAATGTATTGTAAGGCCTACAGGGTGCTACATTTTAAAATGAGCTTGATAGCTATTCTGTGATTATGAAGCACCCTGTACAGTCGAAATAATTTTATAAATGTAGCTTCTTTAGTCCTGTATAATATTGATTTGGAACTTTTCTAAATCTTTTAATTTACCAGGAGCACTGTTAAAGTTCAATTACCCCCCACCCACATAACCCTAATAGTTGGTGCCTTTGACCGTTGACACTTATTGAAAAAAATCTATTCACGCTATGAATCTAGTAAACTACCCCTCCCCCTTGAAAATGTTCTTGATTCGCCCCTGGCTCATACGGTTAATCGTATACAGTATCTGCTATCGAACGTTTTCCAATATGCTTTGTAATTCGAATATTCGAATACTCAAAATTCGATATTTTTAGATCGAAATTATTCGAATAGTCGAATATTCGAATAGTCGAATATTCGAATAGTCGAATATTCGAATAGTCGAATATTCGAATATTCGAATAGTCGAATATTCGAATAGTCGAATAGTCGAATAGTCGAATATTCGAATATTCGAATAGTCGAATATACGAATAGTTCAATATTCGAATACTCGATATTCGAATATTCGACCTATTGAACTAGGTAGGTATTCGATACTCGAATATTTGACTATTCGAATACTTAAATATCGGAATACTGTAAATGTTCAAATATTCGGATATATATTTTGAATTAATTTATATACCTAATTTAAATATTTCTTTTTTATCTATTGCTTAAAAATAAAGGTAGAAGAAAAATGAATAACAAAATTCTGACTTGAGATTCGGGAAAAATACGTTACGGCAACAATGTATTTATTTATTTATTTCCTTTTAGTGCTAGCGTTTTATTTGGTAAATGAGAAAAACCCCAACGTTGTCTGACATTCGCACTTTTCACACGCTTGTTTATGTTTGTTAAGTTATAACTTACTAGTTATTTTATTCATATTAGTGGGTGTATGTCTGTCAGTCAACGTTTGTCCGATACAGATGTTAAATTAGAGTTCAGAACGCAGTAAGATTTGGCTTTACTTCGATAAAAAAGAAAATCGTGTGTAGTGTAAATTAATAATTTACAATGTCATACACAGAAGTAATACTAGTAATTTGTGGAATCAATTAAGAACTAAGCATCATACCAAAACAAACAGGTATGAATTATACGTTAATCAAATAATCAAATACTCAAACATTCGAATATTCGAATAATCGTATACTCGAATATTCGAATACTCGAATATTCAAATACATACTCGAATATTCAAATACTCGAATATTCGAATACTCGTATAATCAAATATTCGAATAGTCGAATACTCGAATATTCGAATACTCGAATATTCGAATACTTAGAAATATTCGAATAGTGAATAATTTGGGTATTCGAATAAAGTTTCAAACGAATATTCGAATACAAAAATCTGAAAAATTCCGAGCCCTAGTGAAAACTACATAGTTAGCATTAGAGCGAGCAGGAAAAATAATAGAGATATATTGCAAATTTCTATATCGTCAGCCACTAATAGTGACAACGTAATTAGAGGTAAATAAATCAATGCTAAAATAAAACTTATTGCAAACCTGAAGTTTTAACATTAAGATATTTCCAAAATGACTCTACTTTTACCAATATATGTCATTAAAATATTATAACAATTGACATCAAGCACCCCACACTATTTTTAATTTAAATTTATTGAAAAATATTTTCTTTTCTATTAAAGCGTGTTTTTTAGTTTTTTTAAACTATTATTTATTTTCTACTTTTTACTTATTTTGTAATAACTAGCACTATTCTACAAACTTTTTATTCAATTTAATTTATACAAATATACCATTTAGATATTTCGCTCTTTGGAACTTGCACGTTTTGCCTCTGGGTAGCACAAGTTGTAAACTTAGGCTTCCTTTTTCTTTGTGCTAATTTTCCAGTGCTTTATGTATTTCGTTCACGAAGATATAATTCTTAAAATTACCTTTGACCCTAAACGAATGTTTTTTTAATTTTTTTTTAAGATATGTGGCTTCACACTTATAGTAGGAGGCATGATGGTCCTTTTTGACAACGAACGAGTTCTGCTATCCAGGCTTCTGTCACCCACAGGACCATTTTCAACTTTTCCACATCCGCTTTTGCACTACATTTGTATCGGGGCTGCCATATTGGGGATTATATTGGCCACTGCTGGCATCGTGGGATGCTGGGCTTCTTGTGTGCACAATTATTGTATTTTGAGTGTGGTAAGTCATTTTGTACAGTATTTTAAATGGTAATCTGAAATCGCATAGGGATTTTGGATATATGTAGTACCCATCATGTATCAAAAGAAGGTACATACATCCATGAATGTCCGATGGATTTAAAATACCCCAACAGAATTTGGATGTCCAAATGGACAAAAATGAATATCCATACTCATGGACATCTACAGATGTATATACCTACTTCTGATACATGATGATTTATTCTATATCCAAAATCCTTTTATAGTATTTATACTAGTCTAGAAGAAATGATAATAACATCATCGATCTCTAAGCGAAGCAGCATTGCACGATGGCTAAAGCAGGTAGGTGCTCCCCCCACCGAGGAGTACTCTTACCTCTACTCTTTGACGAGAACTTATAAAAATGGTAATATTTGCAGGCATTTATTGCCAATATTTATTACTAATATGATATGCCGATGACCTGGGGATCGTCGTAAAAGAAACAAACTCGCCGGACAATTTTGGAGCGCACAGAATTCACTCTAAACATAATTGACGAGTGGTGTAGAGATGAGGAACAGTAAACTCTCACAAAAACCACAATAGTCAACTTTACAAAACGAAAGGCACTAACAGAGTACTAGTCACTAGTATAAAAACTACTGAAAGAAGTGGAGGTTCCATTTGCCCGGGTGGAAAAGTACTTGGGGGTCATCTTTGGCCACAGGTTAACATGGATTGAATTGTCAAAAAAGTCATAACATGACTTATGAAATACTTCAACTTATGTCGGGAAAAGTATGGAAAATGGGATTACAACCAAAAATGTCTCTATGGCTACATATCCGAATTATAATTTTACGGATCGGTGCGATAGTATGGTTGGCCAAAAACTGGACCATGGGAGCCATGAGGACGACTCCAAGTCATGCTAAACCTAGACAACCTCTTCACATATCCATTCAAGACTACTACGAGCTATATAAAAAGTTAGAAAGCGACCAAATAATCGGAATACCTACAGATGAAATGTCCCCTGATATAGGTTTCAAAAACCATTTAAAGTAAGTATATCAGACAAAGAAGCGTGGAATAGAATACATCCTATTCCTACAGAAATTACCTGTTATACAGACGGCTCCAAAACAAATGAAGGAGCAGGTATAGATACTCAAGTCAAAGACAAGAATCTCACTAGGCAGAAATCGCAGCAATATATCGCTGCGCAAAAGGAAAAACCACTGCCGTATACTCCGACATATAAATGAAGTTAGAAGCTTTCAGTTCCATGCAAGTACACCAAAGGCTTGTGTAGGATCATTTGGAAGCTGTAACAGAGCAAGATAGTCATAAATTAATAACGTTAGCCACATATGACACAAGGGTTTACTAACCCGAGAAGAAGTCTCAGAGGCTCTTTTTGTCTCAGAACCCATCTGTAGTGACACAAAGATAGCCATCAGGACATGCACGAAGCAGTATGGATGTTAAATAAATCTCAGGATTGGTGAAACAATTCACCATAAAAGGACCATCACCAAAACTCTACGAGCATCAATAATCAAATAATATCCACAACAGATCTGGTGTGGGAAAGCTACATGGTCCACAGTCCTAACCAAATCTAATACTGATGTAAATCATTATTCAAAATACATTTTTTACCTTATTATTTTGTTTCAGTATTTTTCCATTGTTTTGCTAGTCCTTGTGGGAGAATGTGCCATATACGTGATAGCCTGGGTATGGCCCAGTTGTATGGGTCTGGGAATAGATGTAGACGAATTAATTCGAGCTGTACAAAGGAACTACGGTATCGGTGGACAGGAACAGTTCACCATAGCAGTAGATCTCGCACAAACAGAGGTGATTACGTGCTTTTAAGCAATATAAAACTTTTACCTATATGACAATCATTTTTTAATTTTATTTTAAATTCAATTATAAATTGTTACACTAAATAAGGATTGTTTATTTTGTAGTTTCACTGTTGCGGAGTTGAGTCTGCAAACGAATACGACACTTCATATTGGCGATTGCAAGCGCTGGGACCATCGCTAGCTGTTCCTCTGACTTGCTGCAAACTGTTGAACATCAATCAAACCAGATCATACTTAAATCCTGATCCTGTGAGCCTGACTTTATGCCAGGCTTTAGAAAGGAATAGACACGATGGATTTAGGCACGTTATGGTAAGTGTAAATTTGCCTATTTAAGTACTGACAGTTGTCATTGAACCAAGAAATCTTAATAATTATTAATTTATTTACGTTACTTTGTATTTGATTTGCAATTATTATAATTGGTTCCAGGGCTGCAGGGATCCCCTAGAACGCTGGTATCGCGACCATTATTTCGCCTTTTTGGGCGTAGGCCTCATAGTCGTTCTCGTAGAATTCTCAGTTCTTCTCAGCTCGATCGTAACCTGTACCAGGATTTACCATCACAATCAAGATATACGGGAAAACGCCAGAAACACGGAGCACGACATTGAAATTTCGTCCACCCCTACCACCTTCAAGCGATCCTCAGGTTCCGATGCTGGAGCTTACAGTAACGAAACGTATGCACTTACGGGAAATTTTAAACAGAATTATAAGCTGACCGAAAGAGCATGATATTGGGTTAAAGGGGTTTTTGGACCCTATTACGTGTATGAAATTCAAGAAGATCCGATGTTGTGGTGAAGATTTTGGCAGAATATTTCATTATTACCAAAAAAACTGAATTATATTTACACTATTGCATTACTTATTTTATGAGTTTTTAAAAATAAAAATATTTCCAATAATAATATCAAACTTTCAAGTCAAAAATATATTTGTAAAATTTAACAGAAGTAATCATGTATTGAAAATGTTGAAATAGGGTTGCCAACATTGCAGTGATACTGATACCGAAGAAAAAGGAACACACAATAAAAAGACCTTTTTCTTACAAGTAGCTTATGAAATTCAACAGATAAATCATTGCTGGTAGTCATATTTGTTGCTTTTTACCATGCTTTTTACAGTTACCAAATCAATATTTCTTTTCATGACATGTATAATTGAACTGTCAACAATATTATTTTTATGATTAATGAACAAATTTATTTTTTGATTTTTAAAATGCATAAGCATTTAAATAGCCGTGCGAAAGAATTAGTGGGGTCTCTAATAAGATATTTTGAAGAAGAACAAAATAATGGTGGTTTACCAATAAATGCAGCCAGAGAGCGTGTAGCAGCGGCGTTGAATTTGAATATTTCGACGGTATGCTTTTTCCGGTGAAGAATTTCTATGCACTTTTTCGAAGTTTTATCACTAAACTATTGAAGTAACTAATATTTTAACAAAAATTAGATACGGAAAAATGTTCATTTATATTTTTAAAATTCTACTAATTTCACTGTTTAAACCTAATTTTTAACAATTTTCTGCAACGAAATGTAAACTGACGTAAATTCATAGAATCGTCTTTTTTGTCATAAGCAGTCATTTAGTTTGGGGAAATGAATGAAGCATTTTTTTTTAAATGGTTCGAGAATCAATTATGAATTTAACTGAGCCTTCAACGATTGTTATTTGTTATGGACAATGCTTCCTATATCACAGCACGTTACACTTTTTAAAACGCCCAATCATTCCTAGACAACATTCAATTTGATCAGAATTTGTACAGTTTTCAGAAAAATTTATGTTTATAAAGTAAATCAACTTGAAGAACATTGTGGCCACACATATATTCGGTTACCACCATATAGGTAATATGTACATTTAACCATTTAACCTAATTGAAATGATATGGGGTATTGCCAAGAATTATTATAACCGGCATAATAATAGGGATGCAAACAAGTATGTGGAGGAAAGACTACAGACTGTCACCTCCCAAATCTGGTCTAATTGTATTAGTGGCGTAGACACGGGGGGGTCAGAACCCCCCATGGAGGGTTCTCGCGTCACCATTTCCGCTATAGTATTGGTGCTGATCGCTATTGACTGTTTGTTTTTATTCACTTTCTTGATGGAACCCCCCCATAGTTCTCAAAAACCTCTCCCATGAAGAATGGCTGGCTACGCCACTGAATTGTATCAATCGTACTAAAAAAATTATTCATTAGTTTTTTAAAAATTCTAATATTTTATTGTTATTTAGTGGTGCTTATATTTTTATTTTTGAACTTTGTTCTGGTGTTAAGAGTTTTTATAATATCGAAAGTTTGACTTTTTGAAAGACAAACTACAATACAGCAAGGAATGTATGTTCTTTTAGTAAAGCCCTTTGACTTTTTTGCTCTCGGTTGTTTTTAACGTTTGTAAGAAACCATCTCGTCTGCTTTTAAATGTAGGGTGAACAAAGCTGCAATTAATTTAAAAATAGCAAAGGCGGCTCCAGGAGGAGGGACATGGGGGGACATGACCCCCCCCCCCGAGGTGAAAATTCTTACGATTTATGGGCCTTTTATTCAAAAAAATAGGCTAAAAAGGGAATGGCTAAATAAAGGCAATCCCCCCCCGAAAATTCTTCTTTGAGCCGCCCTTGAAAAATGGTGAATGACATTTTGCAGAATAATTGCAGAATAATTGCAGAATAATTGCAGAATAATTGCAGAATAATTGCAGAATAATTGCAGAATAATTGCAGAATAATTGCAGAATAATTGCAGAATAATTGCAGAATAATTTCAGTTCAGACTCAGTCCCTTTATTTATTTTAACAATGTTTGTGTAAACAGTAAAAATTGTTTACCAACAGCAAAACTACGACTCGCTCCAAGTTTGCCAAAATTTCAAAATATTTCTGATATAAACAAAGTGTCATCCAAATTTAGCAAGGAGGCCATACCCTATTCCAAAATGTTTAAAATAAACTATTCACACAATAATATTACTCTTTATAATTCAAATAAAAAGTTTTTCATTTGAAATTTGATGGAAATTATTACACGATTTTTTTTCCATGCCGTTTTGTGGCTTGTCTTTCAAGAAATCAAATTTCCGATTTTATAAAAACTCCAACGCAGGTGTATAGTCCAAAAATAAAAATATTAACACCACTAAATATTAATAAAATATTAGATTTTTTAAAAAACTAATGTACGAACCGCTGCAGAATATTTTCTGTCGACTCAATTTTGCATTCCGTAATATCACAGCCTTCCTTAGCAACGGACGAAGAGGCCACCGTGGTGTCCACGAACCGTGGGCGACGTGTACCTTTAATTAACATCTGATGACGCCACCGTTGCTGCGGTCGTTGCATGTCCTATCTTTATGTCCCTAATCTTATAGGCAGAGATAAGGGAGATAAAGAGAGGAAACGCTCATAAGAAGCCAATGCTTAATAACGACCAGCTTTAACGCAGGTAACATCTGACCCACTATGTGGCGCGTTCATCGATATCAAACAAATAACGCAGCGGGAAATTTAAAAACCTGATAATAAAGGTTGTATAATTATCGACTGCACTCTCATGTTCTGGTAAATAAATTATAAATTTTTTATTAAAATGAATACTACACTTACAGTCTATTATCGATTAATTATTGTAAATCTATTTATGACAAATATTTTTTCATTTTTGATCTTTATTTGTAACATTAACATTTTTGTTCTTATTTTCCAAACGTATGGCCAATGGTGTCTTATTTAAAAAAGTTAAGTGCAAACTCAATAATGGGTATTCAGATATTTTTTTTCCTATATCAAATCTTTCTAACGTTTTGAAGCCATTTTCTCATTCTAAAACAATAAATAATAAATACTTACTTTGTGACAAAAGTTGGCTACTATTTGTGTTACTTACATGACTAGATCTTACTTTGATTAATTAAAGAACGCCACATTGGGGTTGTTAAATTTATTCATGTGACATGTGTTTCTAATGCAATACGTTCTCCGACTTATTGTAATATTAAAAAATATAATTATTGTCCTCAAATTTCACACAAAAACAGCCACAACCATTTCGCTTAGTTTATCTAGAGGATAACACAATCATGAACTCAAAATTTAAATTCAGGATTCTACGATATACATACAACTAATTGATAATTATATTTATTTACAACCATATATGTAATGTTGTCATTACTAACGTTATTAAAGGTTGGGAAGTGTCACATTACACACCTCTATACTTCCCGCCCTCACTTCCCGCCCTCATTTTATCTATTATTCTAGATGAATATTTTTTATATTAAAAAAAAAATAACACATTTTTTTGACAAATTTTATAATACCTATTTAATGGCAAACAATAAAAACAACAATGAACTAAAATATAACAAATTACTTATTGATATTTATTATTCGCGAATTTAATATCCGGCTTTATCTGACATTTATTTATATTGGTAACAGTTGTTTACCTCGTAATCACAGTAACAATATATTTACCTACTTGAGTATTCTGAGAAAACCGCGCGCTTGGTAATTTGTCGTTAAATGTAATATTTTAGGTATGTTCAGAACAAAACAGAGATTTATTAACTTTGATCGAAATATGATGGTTGTAAATAAAATAGTATACAAACCTCGGTAGGAAGTTTCATTCCTGTCTCGAGATCATAGCTAATAACCTCGACGCGCGTCTCGGTGATCTAATTAATCTCACGACAGGAATGAAACTCTTCCCACCTCGGTGTGTAATATACTATTACAAACTGTCCACTGCTGTTCACGCCTACTGTATGTCGGCAAACGACGTGTACCTTTAGTTAACATCTGAGACGCATAGATGACGACATCGCTGCTGCGGTCGTTGCGTTTCCTATCTTTATGTCCCTTATCTATGCTTATAGGTTTAATGAATTATTTCAAGTGTCAAAAGGTGGAGTTCAAATTAAACTTTAGTTTTTTATAAAATGTTTCTTGAGATCCTCAAATTTTGTAGCAACGTGGCAACGTCTACTTTCATGAGTTTATGACGCATTGGAAATTTCACATATCGATTCCATAAACATGTCATCGTAGTTGCCTACCTAGTAGAACTCATATTATATAATGTATTTAAAATTGCCTATTTAGTAGTTTCTAAACAAACGAAGCAAACACATTTATAGTGAAAAATAATGTATTTACAAATTATCTACAAATATAAACTGTAATACTAAATTGTTTTTTAAAATTACATAATAATCACTTTGGTAAAATAAAAATATGTTATTTCCCAAAACCTCCCCTGCATGATGGACTGCTTTCTACAATCTTCGTACTATTTTCCCATTCCTCGGGCGTTTTAGCAACTATAGACAAAGCATGCACACCACTGTTTAATTCCTCTTGCAATATTTCGTTCACAGTTCTGTGTCTTTTAATTAAAGGTAAATTAAAAAATTTGTTCGACACTGCTACGACTTTGAAATGAGTTTCTGCTCCTTTAGGAACGTTGTGCATGTACGACTCGTTGATAACTTCTAAATGTATAGTTTCTAGATGAGTTTTCAGTTTATTTTGGATTGAAGTTGCTACCTTGTTCATGTTGCTGAGGTTTCTTATCATTCTCGAAAGTCCAAATCATCAAACAAAATCAAAATACCAAATCAAATATTTTTAATTTGTATTGACTTTTGACAGTGACATCGTTGACATTTCATGCAAGCTGTGTTGCCAGATGCCAGATGGTAACGTTTTTCAAGATAATGGTGTAACATTTTTTTGTACCTTTTCAATTTAAAGTCGACCTAATTCTAACTACATCTAATCACAGAAGCTGACGAGCACGCTACACTAGAAATTTTGCCGAACACTCTGATGTTTCAAGGTAGGAATCTTTAACGAAGGCTCTACGTCTCTTCCGAAAGGAGGCACACGCTATAAATCATTAGTACAACATAAGGTTTGTTCCAACTTGGTGTTTGGTACCGTTCTTGTATCATACCAACATCAGTTTATGAACGATGTACTGCGCAAGCCCATCTCTGAATGGTTTTGGAATCGAAAATGAGTTGGAACGCTTTTAAAACTGCTGATGGTTCATAAATAGATAAAATAGAAGAGGAAGAAAATTGTAACCAAACTTTTCGAAAAGATAATAAAAATAAACTAGTTGTGTTTTATAATTATGGATGTTATTGATTTTTTATTGTATCATTCTATATTCTAGAGCACAATGGAAAATATTGGTAAATAATGAATATATTCTGTTCAAATAATTTTGTTTATTATCCTTTCTCAATTTACCATTAATTCTAAATCATCCTAGCATCAACATCAAAAAAATCACCGTCTCCTTCTATATTACTCATTTTCCAAATATGATTTATAAACAGTATTTTCTAAATAAAAATGTATATATTGTTATTATCTACCTATCAAAACATAAACGCGCTGTAAATTTGTAGGTTAAGTTAACTAAAACTAAACCTCTATCGGCTCTATCAACATATATCGATCGCTTTGCGCAAGTCAGTTCTAACAGTTCCACAAAATTTTGTGAATCGATATGACGGTACAGAAACGATTCCGGCATCATCCATTTTTTAGTTGGAACGAATTCTGTATCAACCCGCACACACATACTTATAATAGGTATACGGAGCAAGAGAGACGTCCGACCTGTTTAACAAAGGGGCGGCCATTTTTATACAAGATTACTAGTACATAGGTGACCAGAAATACAGCAATATGAAAACTTGGTTGCAGATGTCTAGGTCTTTTCACTTTTAAATACATCATTTTGTACAGATTTTTTTAAAAGAAATAATACAATATTATATCTGAATTAAATTTTTATTCTACAACAAAAAAAAATATTTTAATGTTTAAAAATACATGTTAGGCTGATAAATAATAGGCCGACAAATAATAGATTAAATACCTAAATACTAATTTTAAATGACAAAAGTACAGTAGAGGAAGTTAAAAATATTAAAATTTCCAGGATACTTTATAATTAAATTGATGGTTGCATATTTGTTTTATTTTAAACAATTTACTTTCTTCTTGTATAATTTCTAAAAGCTACAAATTTTTAGTGAACGGGTCGTCCTTATTGATTCTGCAGTGAATTGTATTAAAAACTTAAAATAAATTTTGTCCAATCTCTATATGGCAGATAACCACAATAAGGAACGATCTGCTTTTTTTGGAACCCTAAAATAATATAGACACTTCTTTCATATCCTTTATTTTTGCTAAATTTTATTACTTACTTGTGGAATGTAACATTTGAATCTATTGGCAACAGTCTTCTTATGTTCTTGCAAGATCTTACAAGACAAGACATCTTGAATAAAGCCCAGTATAGAGAACTTATACTGGGATTAAAGTCTATTCACAAATGTTAAAATAAATAAAACGTTTATACACTTAAGAAAATAATATCCACAATCAAAATATTCTAAAATAACACAAAAAAATTTAACCAAATTCACAAACATATTAAAATTTGACACTTTTGACAAATAAAGATAAATTGGTTGCATAAGTTTCAGTTTGTTTATATAAAAATGGCGGTCATTTCTATCTTCTTTTATTAAACACTCAGTAAAGATGCGCAGAGGGTTTTACGCCGTATACCTATTTAAGTATGTGCCCGCACATCGTACAAATTAAGTTGGAACGCTTGGAGTGTAATACGCATGCGCTGTACCGTTACTGAATGGTTATGTATCAAGTTGGAACAAACCTATTAATAGCACCTGGCACTTGTCACCTGTGATTATACTATGCAACTCGTGCAACGTGCAACTCAGTCAGAAGTTGGCTTTGTTGATCAACATCGGATCCATTCGAGATGTGAATTTTTGATCACGTGATTCAAGATACACAAACGTATAGAGAAAGAAAAAGTTGAAAAGTCTTTTGGTAGGTAGAGAGGGGGTAAACGTCAAACCACGTCGGGCGGCTCCGAGAATTTCACAGTAATGTTTACCTGCCAGTGTCGTTTCATAGAATAAGTAATTTTAAATTGTTATCGGCGGAACCGGACAATCGCATGTATTTATGGATTATAAATAATTATTAAACATGTATTATAATATTCAAATTATAATTTTACAAAATTTCAACAGCTATTCACAATTTATTAAACTATTTACTCGAAAATTGTTATTAACATCTATAAAATAATTTTGTACGCCAATGTATCGTGTCCACTTCGGTGAGATCCGCTGACAACCTGTCAATTTAGGTGTATAAAGTGGGAGAACTCGCAAAAGCATTTCCAACTTTTACTTCTGTTATAAACGTAGTAGGAGTAGATATTGGGTCCTATGATTGAACGTTTATGTTATCCATAACGTACATGTTAGGTCGAATTTTAACAGTAACGAAGCAAGTTTGTATGATGGAAAACTGTTAAATTAGAACATAACAGGCGGAAAATAACAGTAATGTGTTGGAAACCGTTTTTCATCATACGAACTTGCCTAATTACTGTTAAAACTGAGCCTAACATGTACGTTACGGATAACGTAAACGTTCAATCATAGGACCCATTGGGTCCTATGATTGAACGTTTATGTTATCCATAACGTACATGTTAAGTCGAATTTTAACAGTAATGAAGCAAGTTTGTATGATGGAAAACTGTTAAATTAGAACATAACAGGCGGAAAATAACAGTAATGTGTTGGAAACCGTTTTTCATCATACGAACTTGCCTAATTACTGTTAAAACTGAGCCTAACATGTACGTTACGGATAACGTAAACGTTCAATCATAGGACCCATTGGGTGCTATGATTGAACGTTTACGTTATCCGTAACGTACATGTTAGGCCAAGTTTTAACAGTAACGAGGCAAGTTTGTATGATGAAAAACTGTTAAATTAGAACATAATAGGCGGAAAATAACAGTTATGTATTGGAAACTGTTTTTCATCATACGAACTTGCCTAATTACTGTTAAAACTCGGCCTAACATGTACGTTACGGATAACGTAAACGTTCAATCATAGGACCCATTATGTGTCCGATATGGATAAACCGGAGGTCCGGAGGATAAACAAACGTTCGAGAGGTAAAAAATATATCGGATGTGGGTATTCAAACGTTGGATATGGGATTTGTAAGCCGTGTTTTCTTAAATGGTCACCCATTCAAGTAACACCTCGAACATTGTCGGAGACAAAGTCAGACGAGCCTAAGAAAAAAAAAACACATTGAACAGTTGACTTTAATATTGAAAAAACAAATGAAAATATCTATTAATGCATCTGCCAGGAAAAACTTCCTAATGCTTATGAGAATTATGATGCGCCAATTATTATTTACATCCTTCGGTATACCTAACTTTATTTTTATGATATTGTAAATTAAAATGTAAACATAAATATGAAAATAAATTGAGTTTGATATTTAATTTATTGATTTTGACAATGTATTTTATTGTGAAATACCTATTTAAAGTAGCAAGTGCAAGTACCAGGTACTCAAATAACATGAAAACAAAAAAAAAATGTATCTGTAAAGAGAAATCGAGAGGCAAATCAGTAGATCTATTACTAAAATGATAAATATGGTAACATTGTATTCCAGAAAATACAAATGTCAAACTCTAAAAATAAAAAAAAAAATAAAACTTTGAAAGAAAAAGACGTTGGTGGAACACGTTTGCAGTATGTATTATATTTACCTCTCCTCCATGTACTTAATACGTGCCAGACAATGCAGACTACCCCAAACGGTTATTTCATCCTTCTACCAAGGGGTTAATACATAATCTCTGTAATACTGGTTGCCTACTTGTAAAGTTAAAGGAGTTGCACTCTTGGGATGTCAGTTGAAATGTTTTCATTTTTCCAATTTGACAGGTGGCTGCCTTTTTAGTTTTTCTATGGTGGCTGCACTGGCACGCCGTGAAGATGGCCGCGGTCTGGTAGGAAACGAAAGTTGTGGTCTCTGTTTTCATTAAAAAAGTGATTGTGAAACTTTATTAAGAAACTCTATTGCAACCTTTAACCATTGTTAGTGAGAGAATGTATGCAGATTAGCTCTCGAATCTTCAAGTTCCATTTAAAAACTCGTATAAAAGTATCTCGAGAGAAATAAGTTCAAGAAAACAGTGTTTATGAAGAAACCTATGTGAATTAATAAAATTTATTTGAATTTGGTATCAGTTGAAAAGTTAAAAATAAAAACGACGGCTGATTAGACGACGGGTCGGTAATATAGTGCGATTTGCGAATTTTGACTCGGCATGCGTGCAACTACCTGTTAAAATTTAGTACAGTGAACTTATTGTTTACGAATTTTTTTCGAAAATAAACAACTGTTAATTAAATCCACGACTTTTATTCGCGAAAATTATGGAACTATACAATCAAAATATGCATTTAGACAACGTGCACAGATAAAATTCGCTTTATAAAACTCGAAAATAACTATTTTGTTTAATAAACATTTTATGATCTCATTTGAGGTTATGTTGATATACGGGGTGTTGTGATATTCGGGTGTAGTGGTGAGATGTGATTGAGAAAAGACACACTGGATCGTGGGGTACCTGGCCCAGGGGGTTGCCTTGACGGCGGAGGGAACGTACCCCAGGCCCCCGTCGTCCCTCAGCCCCCGGGATTGTCCATTCATAGTAGTGAAGTTACACCAAAACAAGCCCTTGTTGAAAGGTTAGTTTTCGTTCTTATATAATAAGGTTGCACACTCAGTGCATGTTTAATTTTATTACATCTTTGTCAGATAATGTTCCTTGTAAGTGTTGGGAAACGATGAAGATGGTAAACCCATACAGCACAAACACATTTCGGAAATATTTCAACAATGTTACATTGAAACATTTGCAATGTATAAATATTAGGAAGCATCCCAGAAACATTTCTGAAACATGCCTGAAACGTAAAAATGTCCTCTAAATATAATATTTCACAGTAATATTTCTGAAATGTAAATTAGAAATCTTTTAGAAATATTAAGTAAATAGTAATATTTCAGAAATGTATTCTAGTTTTTTTTTTTTTAAAAAGACATTTATAAATATACATGTTTATTTAAAATACACAAAACTCAAACATTGATTCTTAAACAAACAAATAAATAAATATGTTTTAAAGAATATTTCATGAATTGCTTCATTTCCACCAATTCCTTTAAATGCACTAATTTGAAACAACTAGGTTTTTTTTTAATAAATGCTCCAAGTAAAGAAACATTTACGATTATTATAATCTAATCATTAAGATCAATTAGCAATTTTATTTTTACCTAACTTATCTAGGGATGAAAAACTTCATAAACTAAGATTCTACTCACTATATAGTGTACTTTAGTGTCTAATTATTTAGTTACACTATTGTTAACATATAACACTTAACTGCACTATACTCTGTTTTAATCTAACATCACTGAACTAACTCAAAAGGCCTGGTTCTCTTGAGTCTTCTTATTAGATTGGCATTGTTGAGGAGCTGGATAATCTCAAGGTTTCCATGTTGAAGCAGTTGTTGTTGGTGATTACTGGCAAATTTTTGTATGCTATTTTCAACAATCTCCACTTTAAGGTCCTTAAGAAGATCAGTATTACTGCAGTACCAGGATGCATCGACGATGTTCCTTAATACTTTATTCTGGAAATGTTGAATAACTTGGATGTTATTTTTACTGGCACAGCCCCAAAGCTGGCAAATTGCTTCATTTCCACCAATTCCTTTAAATGCACTAATCTGAAACAAAATATAGGTAATTAAAAAGGATTTATACAAATTATTTGATTAAAAATAGTTTTATTAATATTGTTTTAAATTAACTATAATAAAACAATACTCATGTCTAAACAAAACATGAAGGTCCGCCTAAGCAAGCATTATTTATGTAGTTCTCACCTTAATTTCTAAAGACATATTCTGCTTCCCATATAACAAGTTCACAACGCATGAATATCAAAAACCAACAACTCAAATCTATAATTATTTAGAATATAGGCTTGTTTCTAGCTGATGGCTGGACAGGGGCATGATAAAATAAATACATATCATATCTTATTTTTTACAAATCAGAAATTCTTCATTAATTTTTGGCCTTTTACAATATAACCTGTTTAGTAACCTTTTGTATAACATGTATATACCATGTTTCAGAAACATTTTCAGTGAAATATTTAACTAAAATATTTCAGAAATATTTCTGAAATAATGTATGCTGTACGGGAAGTCAACAAACTGCTTCTACTAATTGTGACTATGATATAGGACCTGTGATTTAAGTCTATGGTCATGGACCTCATCTAGTCCATATATTTGAGGTTATATTAAAATTATTTAAAAATGATGAAGTTGTCATTATTTTTATTAGCAAATCTAAAATTATTTCTCCTTGAGTTTGGACTGGTTACATGAGTAAGAATAAGAAATATTTCAATCGCCCAAAATTCATCAATACCTACACCCAAATAATTATTCCCAATATCGCAATATCCATCATAATAATGATTTTACTGGTACAAATAAGTATTTTTTTATAGAACCAAATGAAATGGTATTTTAGTACAACTAATTGTTATAATTATTCTGAATTATAATGAGCTATTAAGTACCTAGTTATATTTTTTAATTAGTCCATAGGAAACATCATATTTGATGTCTCCAAGACATGACTTGCCTGTAAAGTTTTCAAATATATTGAGTGTCATCTAATCAAAAAGTGTTTAAATAAAATATGAATTACAAGATAAAATGTTCAACCCACATTTTATTTGAAACATTTTTTGTTACCTCATTGCCAACGAAAATACTAAAAAAAATAAAATTTTCTACTTTTCATCAAATTCTTCATTCTGGTTCAAATTAATATTCGTCTTTCGGCTGTACTCTTTTGCAACTTTATAATGGTAATTAGGTATTCGAGAGCATGAATAATAATCATTACCTAATGGTTTTTAATACCAATTTTCTTCTAAATGCCTAATTAAACTGGTAAATGAAGGTTTTCGTAGAAAGCAAAATTAAGTATTGATTTTTTTCTACATAGACACCTAAATAAGATTTAAAATTCTGAACAGTTGTTATAGTCAATTGTTAAAAACTAAATTTATATCATTAGGTAAAGGGGTTTCCCTCACTAATACTCACACAGATGCAAGTATATACCTACATTTATTAAAATTTTGTGAACCTGACAAACTTTCACATAGGATGTTAATACTATGAATAACTTAAAGTTCATATCATTCTGACAGAAACATTCCTAAGCTCTGCTAATAAATTTTAATGAACATATTATCTGCAACCAGCTGTACAATAAAGTTTTCAATTAGGAAGCTTTTTAGATCAAGAATAAGCTTTTCAAATTTTCAAAAAATTATCACCAATGAAAATTTCTGCTTACTTACCTATTTTAAAATTAGTAAATAAACTATTAAATCAACTGAATTGATTGGATAATATAGGCCCAATGTAATATTGTTTAGTCCTTAGAAAAGTCGAGGAATATAAGAAGGTACGAAAATGTAAGGTTATATTTTTTGGCTATATTACACAATTAATTTTAAATGTATATGTATAACCGAGAGTATAACTAATAATGGGACATATTGAAGTTCTTTGTGCATAATAAACATCTAAATAAAAAAACTGTAAACATATTTCAAATGGGTAGTCCAGGGAAATAAAAATGTAAGTAGTAGCAGAGGTAGTAACTAGGTGGTAGAAGCCCATTAAATGACCACATCCAAAAAAATTGAAGCATGTGGAGTCTCTTTTCAGAGACGTTTTTAACCTTCAGGACTTTAACCTGAGAGGCTGGCTATCCATAGACATCATCATAAAATAAATAGTTGGGTCACTCTGACTGTAGCCTTTGATCTTTGAACATTAATTTACTGAAGAATTCCTGGAAACTAAGCATTGACCATCTCTCTTATGAACTGTTTGAACAGTGACAGAGCTGCATCGCCTGCCATATACTTGCTGGATTTTTAGACGGGGTAGAGAGGATCTCATCAACTTCTGCCTGCTAGTCTTGTTTATGTTTGATGCCCTAGACACCCCAACCAACAACCAGTAGATTTTTGATGAGTTGATTACCTGCAGGACTTTGATGAGCTGGGAATATGGCTGTTTCTAGCCACCTCTCAGCGACAACCAACAGGTTTTTGACAAGTTGAGAGACAGGTCCTATATGCCCCTGGAAGATGCACAATGGACATAGTGATGCCCAAGTTACTTGCGCCACCTTAAATATACATATAGGTAGGTACTACAGAAGCATTGTGTATTTAATTTTGGGACTGCTATAACACCCTAAGAGGCAAGAAATCAATTTCTTATTTCTAGACATTTCTGTAATCTTTTACTTAAGAACTTCTCTTACAGCAGTTGAGGGTAATAGTGGTCCATCAGTATCACACTATCATTTAAAATATGATATTAATGAAGATAACAAGCTCATTGCAATGAATGATTATTATTTTTTTTTTGTTGGCATTCTGTATGCAAAAATAAATAACAATAGCATATTCACATTATGTTTGTTTTTTATAATAATAGAGCATTATAAAATTACAGAAAACACAATATACAATCAACTCCTTAACATAATATAAACAAGTAAAATTTTTTAAATTACATAGAAAATTTTACCCCTCCATTGTAGCTGTTGTTTTAAAATGTTTCCATGACAACCAGAAAAATTTTAAGAGATTTTTATACACAAAATAACCCTGAATTTTTTTTTGACTTCTATTTTAGGAAACTAAAGTTGATAATTTGTATCTTTATCAAAGCTAAAATAATGAATGGATTTTTCACATGAACTTAATGAATTTAAATTATGACAAATACACGTAACTGGCAACTTTGTAAATTTGATTTTAGGCTTTTTAATTCATGTCTATCAAGTTTTGAAATTTCGGCGTAATATGTTCTTATTGATTACCACACTTGCCTAAATTATTATCTGGATATTTTTGCACTCACGAATTTTTTAAGAAAATTAAAATTTTTCGATAATAATTTAGGCACCAGTGATTTTATTACTGAAAATAGTCTTGTCAACATTTTACCAAGTATGCCAATTCCCTTAATGTTATTTCTTTTCTATAAGTACAAGTTTGCATGGGCATACAGAATGTCAAAATTATTAATGTAGAGTATGGTTTTTTGAGTACTAAATATAAACCCCTAGATTATATTTTTATTTTTTATTTTGTCTAGAATAAGATGGGTATAAATAAGCTAAAACAATTGAAATAATGATAAAATTATCAAAAAAATTAATTCAGGAAATACTTTTTTTTTTTGGGTTTTTAGTAGAGTTCTTGAATATTCATCATATTTTTCTGATTGTTAGCTTACTTAGGAAAATTTTAATTAGTTCGTGGTACTATGACGAAATAACTACGTTTTTTGAATAAAAAAAAAACCTATAATAATTATATTTTGATAAAAATATAGAAAGGAGTTTCGTATTGATAAAAATTGATATTATAATCTTAAAGCTCAATGAATCATCCTAGATTAGATTTGAAAGGAGTTGGACATTATTTGTCCTTGTCCAATGCGATCTTTTCAGATCTATTGTAGAACTCTGTATGTCGTCTAGCTTGGTCTTTTTTATTAGACAGTACTTCGACAGTGGCGCTCGCGTGTAGTTCCATGTGGCTTGGTTTTCTTTGCCT